CTCTTATAAACGATGAAAAACCAAGAGAGGAATATTCTATTGTCGTTTACTATGCGGTTAAGATTTCAAATGCAACTTTATAAACGGTCTTAACTTTAACTGTGTAATAACCATCGCCCTCGCGATGGCCAGAAAAACCATACGGCAAATGAAACAAGATTTACTTTGTTATAGGTGCTCTTTCTCGGGTTGGCTTGCTGACAAACTGGAAGGGTACCAAATGTAGGAAAAAGGCTTAACAGTCCCCCTATAAATATCTAGAAATTTCGCTTATAATTGCAGAATCGGTCACAATAGTATTATTACTAAAAAGGTAAATCATTACACGATATCAAACTACAAATACACTTATCTTTGTTTTGAAAATGGTGGATGAATGACCTTATGTTATTCGCCTGTATTTATCTGTGAAAAGCTTGACTTTTCTTGAGGCTGGCAGAAACAGATAGGGACAGCTTCAAGGCCAAGAAGGAATAAGATTGGAGGAGTGAATGAGAAACCAAAAGATTCCCTTCCTTCGCAAGCTTGTATTACAAAGTGTTAATGCCGCAGACAATGAACCTTTCAGTTTTAGCGCGAAAATGTTCGTGACAAGTGAGGCCGCTTACTTGTCACGCAACATTTATAGTCGCAAGGTCTCTCTACAAAAACAAGGGTTACACCACTCGGAAGACTTAAACTGTAACTATGAAAATTTTGATAGGGATTCCTCGACTGGGTGTTCTTATCCGCTGGATCTGCTTGTAGGGCTTCCTCTTTCTCACTCGTTCATTGCGAAAAACTTAATATATTGCCATAGAGCCATTAGTCGAAGAAGAACTATACAAAAACATAAGCATGCATAGCATGCAAGAGTTATTTTTTTAGCTGGGTAGATCGAGATGGGACACTTTGAATTCCTAATGTTTCCATAACTTGTAAAAGAACGAAAATATCGTATTACTCCTCTTTAGGAGAAAGAGAAAAAAACTTATCTAAACCCACACAGGTATTTTGTGGTCTATTGTCTGACTACTTCTGAGCAAAAATAAAATGCATCGGTGTCACGCCTGCTGTAGTCTCCCTTGCAGCCTTTGTTTGGTCTCGTCACACAACGCCCTCTATTCCCCGTTGGAGAGAGAGCTATAGCTTGACGAGACCAAATAACGGCTGCGAAAGAGACTACGCTTACAGCCGTTCCTCTAGTAGAAAGAAAATCAAAATTATTCGTATGCAGTTGGTCGCCTCAAAAGTATAATTCCGCGTAATATTACTGCGAAGAGCAGACTGAGACTGTAATCTCCAATAGATCCTAATCAAAGAAATCTCGTATAAGGGAAAATACACTGAACAAGAAATGATAATATTTCAAGGAAGGCTCCTTGATTGGTTGTTGTCCATCTGCACTTTGCCCTCTGTGTGATTCCATGACCTCAGTTACAAGAAAACAAGACTCAAACGCCGTGATTGGTGCGTGAAATCCAAATGCTGTGACATTATTAGTGCGAGATACATACCCTAATGCGGCGATGTGATTGGTGCGAGCAACATACCACGCCATACGAAAACATATTTTTTTAATGAAAAAAATGACTCAAAAAAACAAAACGTTAATTTTCTTCCTCTATTTTATTTCAGTAATTTTATTTAACGAAACCTGTTCATGAAACCCGAACGCAGGTAAGACTACAATACCCTTTTTGACCAAGCTTTTGGCTTCAAACTAAATAATAAGTACTTCTACAGGTTTCTCTCTGGTGAATCTGACACCACATATCAAATGTCATCTAAGCGACTTCACTGTCATTTCTCAGAGAGCGCAGCCAAAAGGTACACATTTTTTCGAAATTCTCTACTTTCGCTAGTTTATTGGGTAAAAACTGATGCAAAAAAAATATTATTTGTCAATCTGGCGATAAAAAAAGAAAATGCCGTAATGAAAACTTAACTGGAGAGCAGCAGTACTCTTTGCTTTTCCAAGCGAGAAAACGGGACAAGCGCGAGGTGAACGCGTGAGGCGGGGAACGCGACTATGTCGTGGTCCCCGCGCACGCCTCGCATTTTCCTTGCTCGCCTGAGAAACGTGAAAAAAATGACAACTGTAGCCTGTAGGCTACTGGTCACTCCACTGTAGTGATAAAACGCGTTCAGCTGGATTTTACTTTGTTTGGCGTTACAAGGACGCTCTACCTCCAAGGATATAACCATTCAATTTATAGGATAAAGAATAAGCTTTGAATTAAGACGGTAAAGAATGCTATCAAGAAACTATTGCCAACATTCATATGATGTTCCCTACACTGTGAAGGATAACGATTTTCTGCAATTCATATAGCTGATAAACCAAGTTAAACTATGAAGCTTTTCAAGCTTTTTTGGCCTTTGACTCTGTTGTTTTCTGAGAAAAAGGTCCATGTGTTCTTCAAAAGGTTATAAGGTATTCAGGGTAACTCTGGTAATCAGAGAAAACAACAAAGATGCTGGGGCTTGATTGGTTATCAACCACAGAATTGTAAAGAATTTCAGGTTTTGATGAATCTTTTGGTGGAGGCACCTTCATTGAAGGATTTCCAACACAATACTTCCCAACGAGGACTTTGGCAAGGTACATGTAGCGACCTCCATAGCCACCACCCCCAGTGTAATTAACAGAGTATCGAGCGTCTCTAGCGAAATAAACACCAAGTCCATAGGCCGTGCCTGAAAAAAAAACGCTAAATTTAGAGAAAAAAATATCAACAAAATTGTGTTGCATTCAGTGAAGTAATTTGTTATAAAAGAGGCAACTGTACTCTTCTTCTATTATTACAGCTTTTATTACCAATTTATAGCTCCAATTAGTGATTCAGTGCTCATGCAACGTCTAGGTGACTTGGTCGAACATGTAGATGCCTAAACTGGTCAAGATTAATCGTAGAGTCTGTAGCTCAGTGGTAGAGCATTGGAACGAGGAAATCTGAAGGTTTGAAGTTCGATTCCTCATAAGTACTCGAAAGTTTTTTCTTTAATCCCACCCCCGTGACGAGACGATAAAAATTCTCCTCTATTGAAAATTTCAATGACTTACCATGTGCCCCACAGAAGCTTCTGTTGAATCCTTGTGTGTTGATATGGTTGATGTTTTTAGCATAAGTCCCATGAAACAGCTGTCTTTCACTTTTTCCTCCCGTATCTTTATCCATTTGCTGTTTTCGTAATATGTAAGACTGATACAGATGAGGATTCTGTACGCGTTCAATCTTCTGAATATTAAACGCACCAGCTGTGGCTTGAAACTTACGTGCGACATCTTGATACTCAGGGGAGCCTGAGGGCAGTTGTACTTTATGTACGGTAGAGTGATGGCCGGGCATTGGTGCCCAGTGCTCTGGTAGAGCAATTCCTACAAAAAGGACCGAATGATTAGAATGTTGAAGAAAAACCCAACGAGTGATGTGAAATTTCAAGATCCAAGTTAACTTTTTAAGTAAGACACATTCAAGATTATCAAGAAAGCTCAGTGGAGACATTTAAGGACAGCTTTTCTGAATATCCCCTTCCTGTATGAAATGTTTATTACCTTCAACGTCCTCTGGGACATGAGATAGCTCTTAGTCCTTTCTTATAGCTTATCGAAACATCCTCGTCAAAAGAGATGTCTAGCCACTAACCTTCATCAGCACCCTTCACCTTTCTTGTCAGTGTTATTTGTTCACCAGACATTTTTCCACGTCCAGAGTTTATCTTCAAGTCGATGACAAACTTGTCTCCGCGTAGAGAAACTTGCACGGTTTGCTTGCCTTTGCTGTGGGCCAACTCAATCTTGCCATTTGCTTTCGGAGCAAACGCCACTTTTGTGCCCCCTATTTCATAGCTCCACTCTACGTTCTTTGAAACCAACTCCGCTTGTTCTTCCTCCTGCTTCTTCTTCCTCCTCTCGTCGATCTCTTTCAAGATCTCCCCGACTATTCCAGATACTTCGTTTGGTCCACCACGAACGACAATGCGATCCACGTCATCCTCAATTTCAAGTTTGACGTCTCGGTCTTTAGCTTTTTTTCTCAGGATATCCTTCTGCTTATCGGAAAGCTGACTGACGACGTCACTTTCGACTTTATCCATTGTAAAAGCGTCAGAAAAACCTCTCTTCAAGGATTCCACGGCTTTTCCCACGCTCACTTTGTCTTTGCCAATCACAGAAATGCTTACAGAATGTTCACCACTTTGGCCCAATGCCTGCCTTCGTCCGCGACTTCTGGTTCCCCCGGCTGCTACATTCTCTGAGTCACTATCTCCTTCATTACCTTGCACTGGTTGTTTCTTCTTCTCTTGTAGGAAATCCTGCATCATAGAGGCCTGGAACACAACCACTCTTACTTTTTTAATATTTTTGCAACGGGCACTGAATGTCTTTAGTGCTTTGAACGTAAGTTGAGCTGAGTCTGCTGCGGTTAAGCCGTATCCTCCTGTGCCAACGCACGGAATTGAGATTGCTCGTAGGTGACTGGCGTCGGCAACACGAAAACCTTCCTCCAAACATTTCTGGAGATGCTGCTTAGCTGAGGAGCCTGGAATTATATGAATAATATTAGGTACATGTAAATTACCTCCGGTGGTCATTATCGCTGTTCCAGCAGGCTGCTTTCCCAATTGGTTGCATTCTTGTTGCACTAGTGGACCACTCTGTCTTGCTATGGCTTTGCTTAGGTCTCCGGCGTTATCCATGTTCATGTCCGTGCTGATGATATTCATGATAGCGTCAGTGCTGTTCTCTCGAGTCAAATCACCATTAACCACCTCAACATTAAGAGGGCTTGTCAAGGTGATATATTGGAGTACCTTCCTCCTTCCAAAGGAGGAAGGTATTCCACCAGTAAAAGTCGTGATGGCAGAGTGGCCAATGTGCTTGGGTTGCAGTTTGTCCATCTCTTGTTTGAAGGCAGCAGTTAAAGCTTGATCTTGGTTGAACACGACAAATCGGATGTCCCGTAAACTAGAACCAGGGTTGGTTTTGCAGAAGTTGACTGTTTCATCCAACATGATTCTCGAGGCTGCATCGCGTGGGAATTGTAGGTTTCCAGTTCCAATGACAGGAAATGCAATGGAGTTGGCTCTAAGCTTTTCGCCTGTTTGCAGACACTTTTGAACGATGGCCCTTAGCGCCTATGAAAGATGAAATAAAAGTCGTTGAATGTGGTGGTAAGAGGGGATCTAAAGAATCCCTTCACTCCAATGTGATCTCAATAGCAATTCTCCGCACTGTCTACTGATCATTTCATCAAATCTAAACGATAAATACTCTTTGAGAAGTCCTTTGCTTCAAAAGTGAACTAAAACTTAATTATCTACGTACAATTCACTGTTTCTTACCGACTCCCCTTCACCGTTGTTCCACTTACAACAGTTGGTGTGAATCACGTGGCTGACCGAGGAAAAACCACGTGAGACAATGATGTCACCAACGTTAGGGGTTGCGGCCTGAGGACCACCGGCATTAATGATTGCTTGATCGCAAACTCCTTGAGAACTGATAAGTACGTCAGCCTGAAATACACAACCAAAAAAATATTGTTAATGATTCATTGACTTCATCAATATGATGGACTGTTGTCGTTATCAGACTTGGCGCTCTCAACAAGAGAGACGTTAAATAATGTAACTACACTCTACCAGCACATGAAAGCTAAGTGAAGAACTAAAATCAATAAATATGCCAACAAGATCCTCCAAGGTATTTTCATGAGATGTTCTCCTGGTGTGAAGAAATCAGTGTGTCAATCCTACCTTCTCTGCCCCTATGTTTCCAGGTTTCCACGACACTCTATGTCTTTGGGCTATTACCAGGGTACACGAGTCAGTTCCAGCAGTGGTAGCGTGGTCATCCTCAACATCATCGTCCCTGTCGCCTGAAGAAGTAGAGGCGTTGGATACGGCTTCGAGGTGTAACTCCTCGTCCTTTCCTCCTCGACCTAAATTTTTCTTTATTTCGATGGCACAATCTTGTTCTTTTTCCACTGATTTCACCAGCCGATCTCCACTTCCACTGTCGAAGTATTTTCGAAGGCCTGGCTGTTTCACTTCTAAGGTTTTCAACTCAGTGGAATTTATTAGAGCGTCGATCTTCTTTCTTACACGTTTCAAACCCTCTCTGTTTCCAGAAATAACAAAATCATCATCGTCTTTTCCCTTTTTAATACTCACTACAAAATCTTTTAGTTGATTTTCTATGGTGTGTAGATCTTCTTGACGTAGCTCAAGGAGATACCTTCGCATATCAGACTTGCAAGCAAAACGTTCTTCCTCTATGCAATTGTTTTTAAGAAAGGTATTTAACTTCTTTATCACTTCGGTCACGTCATCACGAAACCCAGCTACGTATGTATCGTTCCAGTTGTCCCTCCGGACACGGACAGCCGTTTGGTTCATCTCGCCACACAAGTTCAGCCATTCAGATGACTTCAACAAATGCTTGCTTTTCTCGTCCATTTGAACTTTCTCTTCCACCATTAACTTGTTCACGACCTTCACCGCGTTATCTGCATGCGCTGCTGAGGATCCCACTATAGTGGCGTCTTTCTCAATAACCAACTCTGCTTCCACGTTGTTTCTTTCCAACTCACATTTGACAGTCTCAAGCCCTTTATCTGAGTTTAAAATCTCCAGGATGCTGACGGATAAAGTTAAATCCTTCTGAACCATGTTTTTCATTAGTTTCTCGAACTCCATGGCTGCCTCAGTAAATTGTGGCTGGGGACCTTCGAAATATATTTCTTCACCTTTAGTATTAATCTTGATCTCCAACTCCTTGTTCTTTTCTTGGAGTTTCTCGGCAAATTTTATCTTCTTCAGCAAAATTAAGCGCTCCTCGGGAACATTTGCAATTTTCTTCTTCAGGTAAGTTTTCCTGGTCTCCTCGCGGTAGATTTCTTCCAACTTTGACCTCACCTTTTCCTCGTTACTTTTCACATCTGCTTTTAATGAAATGATCCTAGCAACATTTGAATCAGGAACAGTCTTGAGCAGCGGAGGATCAACTCCCAAGCAGGTGCCAATGCTGGGAACTTTAGCTACAACGGCTTCCCAGAAATCCTTGTTGACCTGCACATCGCACTTTGCAAACTTGCCGAGGTAATTTTGTACTTGGTCAATGCATTCAGGTTGCCAGGAATCACTGTCATCTTCCCCACGGTACACTATTAGAGCCATTTTGTCGTTGGGTTTCCAGGTGATTTCGCTTTTCTTTCCAGTCAGCGAATTGTTTAGTTCAGCTTGGAACCCTTTGAATGTGATGTATTCCATAACATCGGGATCTACAGGCATGTGCTGGTATTGTGCTTTGGCATCAGGTTTCTGGCTCACTCGAGATTCACTGGCCGCGGTTGCAGTAGCTCCTAAGTCACCGGAATCCTCTGCTCCATCAACGTCCTCGTGTTCTAAAAACTCTCGGTAAGCTCTAATGGACAGCTGGGTTTGTTTAATCTCATAAGGTTTCTCTTCATGTCTGGTTAACACCCTTTCCATATCTATCGATTAAAGCAACGAAGTGTCAGGAATTCCCCTGAAGAAGTTATTTGTTGTTTCACAACCCTTCATGACACTTTAACTTGAGAGAGATGCACAGATTAAGGACGATGGGGTGGTTGGGGTAGAGTAGGTCAATAAATAAATAAATCAATCAATCAATCAAGCAATCAATCGATCAATCAACGATCACCAATTTGTCCTTCTCTAAGTCTAATGTACTGCTCAAGTCTTAAACCGTGAGAACCAATATTTGATACATATGTTTGAGGATCAGATGTCGATTATTCGTGCTTGAAGGAATTACACTGTACATATATTTTAGAGATAAATGAGTTACAAACCTTTTGCGTCTTGAAACACAACCACAGCTCGACCACTTTTAGGAACATAGTCAACCTTCTCCACAGGACCCCCTCCGTTTCGACGACTCTCAAAGTACAGTTGAATAAAATCATGGGTAACGTCTGAAAAGCCAGTGACAAGGATGCTTTTGCAAACCGGGACTTGTTCGATGGAAACCTTTGCATCATCCAGACCTCTCTCCTCGCATTTGGTCTTTATTTTCGTGAAATCTAAAGAAAACAGATCACATTCTCATCAAATGTTTGTCTTGTGTGATCTCCACTTTTGAAGTCTTCCTGAAAGGAACAACACTCTTTAAATTACATGTACAGTTCCCAAATAAAATGATTACTTTGATCTGGGTTATTTTGATAGCCTAGAGAAGAAAATGGAAAGGTCTAAAATAAGATACCTTGATTCTTCAGGTACTTCTAAAGCATACAACAATTTTAATCAATGAAAAGTTAGTTTCATATAATGTAAGGGTAAGTTTATTGCTTGAAGCTGAGAGGATGAAATTGAGGCGGCGCTAGCTTTCATCCCTGATAATTCACTAACAGATCAAAGAAGTACGATAGGGAAACTCCTGCTTGCTCTCCAAATTCAATTGAAAGGTACCTACCTCTGATTTCATCCGCCATAATGACTAAGGCTTTTCCATTCTTCAGCATCTGTACGTCGTTAACCTCTTGCCCAGCACTCTTTGCCGCGATAAAGTTACTTAGTCCGTCCCGGGAAGTTTTTCCACTCAGCCCTCGAACGAGTATTCTATTTGTTTCAAATTGAGACTGATCAGCAACCTTCCCTGCATCCGAATCATCGACAGAACAAGGGGATGAGGTTATTTTGCTGACAGGCTTCCTCGAGGATACTGTGTGCTTCTGCTTTTCATGAAAATTTCTTCCTCTTTCACTTGGTTGGTTCGGTTGTCTTGGCATGATTTGAGAGGAATCTTTAGGATCTGGAAACTGATCGCTCTCCTGAAAGTTTCCTGGAATTTGATGTTGCTCCTGGAAATTGCCACCTCGTCCGTAACCCTTTGGCTTCGATTTTGGATTTGGTTGACGCCCTCGACCGCTTTGACCTCCACGTTCCATTTTAGGCTGAAAATTGCCTCCATCACCGAAGCGCCATTCCTGCGATCCATAAGGCGAATTATCTCGATATCCTGCAATTTGGTCTTGAAGAAAGCCACCTCCTCGTTGTCCTCGTTGGTTTCCACGTCCTCTCTGCGGCGGAAAGGCGTTTTGATGACCAAACCACCGTCCTTGAGGGGGATGAAATTGATCATGCCTATACACTTGGGTGTTGCTTGGACCCGCCCCCAGGCTCTTCTTCTGGGTTCCGCCTCTGGGAAAGGTGTTTTGTCCTCTGAACCCGCCTCTGGGTCGCGCCTCTGGGTCCCCCCTCTGCAGAAAGGCGTTTTGGTGACCAAACCACTGTCCTTGAGGGGGGTGAAATTGATCATGGCTGTACGCCTGGATGTTGTTTGAACCCGCCCCCAGGTCCCGCCTCAGGGTCCCGCCTCTGTGAGAGGTGTTTTGGCCTCTGGACCCGCCCCTGAGTCCTGCCTCTGGGTCCCGCCTCTGCAAGGCGTTTCGGTGACCAAACCACTGTCCTTGAGAGGGATCAAATTGATCATCACAATACACTTGGGCGTTGTTTGGACCCGCCCCTGGGTTTCGCCTTTGGGTTCCGCCTCTGGTAAAGACGTTTTGGCCTCTGGACGCTCCTCTGGGTCCCGCCACTGGGTCCCGCCTCTGCGGAGAGGCGTTTTGGTGACCAAACCACTGTCCTTGATCATCGCTATACACATGGGTGTTTTTTGGACGTGCCCCCGAGTCCCGTTTCTGGGTCCTGCCTCTTGGTCCCCTTTGCGGTCCTCCTCTTGCCTTGCCTCTTTGCCTCGAGTTGTGGCCTCGACAAGTTTGGTTCCCCTCATTTTGATCCGATTCAACGCTATCACCAATATTTCTCCTTTCATCTTGTCGTTCTGCATCACCATGTTGCACTTGCGTTTGATTTTGTTTTCTGGGCTTTCTTTCAAATTTTCCTTCTGGTTTCGTAGTCAATGGTCTTCCTTGAGTTAGATTTTTAAAAAGGGCCGCAGGATTCTCCATATCTTGAAACTCCTGTAGCCTCGTACTGGCTTTTTCGATATTTCCTTTCACGTCATCTCGACGGAGAATTCTCTTGATAAGAACTGATGGCAAAGAACTGAATGCCTCTTGCAGTTGTTTTGATTTTCGTTCAAATTCCTCTGGGTCCTCTTCTTCCTCTTCCTGCTTTTCTTTCTCGTTCTTGTTGACAGCAGATGAAAAACCCAACTCCCTGTCAATATTCTCCACAACTGTTTCACGAACTCCGTCGTCTTCTTTGTCAACAAAGTCACTGACGTTTAAAAAACCAAGATCTTTATTTCCTTCCTCTTCTTCTTCTTCTTCGTAATCGTCGTCGTCTGTGAATGGAAAAGTATTTATCAATGGCCTTGAGATGTATGTTATAACTCTCAAAGTCAACTAGCAAAAAAAAAAGGAAATACAGCTAATTTAGAAGCGCCCCAAAAGTCAGTGAAAGTGATATACAGGATTCTCTCCCCTCATTATTCCCCCTCCCCCACCCCCCACTGGAAATTTGCGTTTCAAATGTCCCCAGGAATTTTTCCCCCATAACCGTACACGATCTCCCTACAGTGAAGGTCGCGCACTGACTTTCCATCGGAATGCCTTCTCGAACATATAATAAAATGTTTCATTGCACTACAAAACTCAGCGTAACAGTATTGAAGTTAAAGAGATAAAAAGATGTTGTGAAGAGGAAAACCAACGATTAAGTAGGGTCAGATAAATTATGCCGGTGTAATTTGGGGCATAATGCTAAAGTTAGAGCATCAAACATAATGCGTGTATAATGACTAAAATGTATTGAAAAATCTCTTGATGTTATTGCTCAACGAGAGATGAATGGTGATAGCAATGGAGGCGAAGTTGAGGGGCTCTTAAAAGCTAACTACTATAACGAATTATTGAATTAAGCATAATGATAACAATTTAGCTTAATGCCATGTAGCTCTCAAGGATGACGTTCAAAAGCATAATGCTCAATTGGTTTTACTATTACTTATCTGACCCTATATTAAAGTAGAGCACACCCACTCGTGGGCATTTCATTCCGTGATGAATAGATTGAAGGTATCTTGATATGCCGGAATGAAAAAAACAGCAACTCCAAGCGTCTACTTCATTTTATATTTAGCAAGACGTTGTTGTAAATCATACGGTACATTTGATGGTATTATTTTTTCCCGATTATTTTACATTTTTCTGTCGCAGGCAAGAATTTTTGCTACTTCCAGCTGATTAAAGCAAGCTCAATCAGAAATATTTTATTTCCTGGTGTTGATATCGATTTGTTTGTGTTACAGACTATCTGAAAATGGTGAATTGAAAGTGGGTGAAAATAATTACACTCGTGGTATAGGACTTACGGTTTAAGTCGAGCAAATAACATGGGGGATGTCCCTCCGATGAGCAAAGGAAATAATTGTTTTTCGACGTAGACCCAAAGGATCAGGATTTATCAACCAGTAACTTTGATGAGTCTATCATCTCAAGAAACGTAATTCCTTGACTGTGAAGTTTTTCGATGCCCTGTTTCCTTAAAGTGTGTGCTTACATCAGAAATTTATTAGTGCAAATATGGGCGGCCGTCACCACCAAAAATACAAGAATGTACAATAGATCAGCAAATACAAAGCTGGTCTAAGGATCAGCTGCAGCAGGATTTTCCGAGAGAATCACAAAAGTTCTTCGAAGTTTCAACATCAAGGTCGCTCATAAGGTTATCCGCTCCATCTCGAGTATACTTTAAAAGCCAAAAGACAAGATAGAGAAAGAGGCTTCCAGAGGAATCGTGTACAAGATCGAATGTAAAGATTGTGATTGGGTTTACGTTGGTCAGACATCGTGCGCACTAAAAGCGCGCGTGAAAAAAACGCAAAGCCATAGCAAAATTGGATGAAAACTCTTTGTTGGCCAAACACCATATACTTCACAGTCACCAAATAGATTTAGAGAGTGTTTAAATTGTTGACAGGCCATCGGCGTGGCGACAAAGACTAATTCTTGAAGGTTGGGAAACGCTATAAACGAACACCTAACGCTGCCAAACATATACAATAACATTAAGAATTTTTAGAGCCATTAAAAATACTCCAGAGGCTATTGTTTCACTTAAAAAAAAAATTCCGTCTAGAATTAGTTTTATCACACATCGTGGACATGTACCAAGCAGGACGCCGTCATACATTTGCATTTTTATCTTTGCTGAAGAAGGCAACAGTAGTAGCGGAAACGTCCAGAACAATATATTTTTTAGCCAGTGTCAACTTTTTTGATTCGTTTTACCAAAATTTTTGATATGCCTGGTTACACACCGAATATTGTTTATATTTATTACTTTAAAGAGGTTTACATTATCACACAACTTAAGCCAATTTACAAAATAGTCAAGAATCTTGCTCCTCGTTATTTAACTGAACTATTGCCCAAACTGTCTTGTGAACGTACGCGTTTTCGTCTCAGATCAAGAGATAACTTCACTCAACTTCGTTTGATGAACTTCTACGCTTCAAAAGTCTTTTTTTCCATCAGCAATCACTGACTGGGATTCTCTGGACCTAGATGTCCGAAACTCTGTAACTCTTCCCACTTTAAAAGCAAAACTCGGTCGATTTTCTTTCCGCATGCTTATCATAGGTTATATGATGGTTCTTTGTCAAGGCGTGCATCTGTTGATCACACCCCCCTTAGACTTGAGTTTTCTTGTGTAAGAGAATATCTCTTCAAAATTAATAGTTGTGTGTCGCCTATTTGCGAGTGCAGTTTTGACTCTGAATCGGTGAAATACTTTTTCTTGTACTGCCCAAGTATGCCGCTCAACGTCATGTTCTCCTTACCTCTCCTGCTAATATTCTAGGTGAAACATGGTCATCGAGTAGCGATGCCAGGAAACTAAATTCTTTATTGTATGGTGTTGAGTCTGTAAATTACGACGTCAACTGTACCTTTTTTCGCGAAGTACAAAGTTTTATAATTAACACTGATCGCTTCTCTGAGGTCATTGTTTGAATGTTTAAATGTATTCCAAGCTTAGTAAGTTTAATTCGTTGTTATTGCAACTTGTGTGTGTTTGTTATGCCTGAATAAATTGATTTTATATTTGTAAAATTGTAATTCCCCTCGTAAAACCTAAGTACTTTTGGGAAAAACAATGATAACTATGTTTAAATAAAAAATAAAACGTTTTACATTATATTACTTTGTTTATTGCGATGTCCGCACTAGCCTTCTTAAAAAGTGATGACTAAGGAATGGAAAAGAGCAGAGGGGAGATTTTTATGTATGCGCGCTAAACCAGCTCGGAAAAATGTTGCTTAGGCTACGCTATTTTTGGAACGCGGGAAAAAACCTTGAAGTGTTTCTGGTCCACACTTGTAATTGACGTTTGAACGAGAAAATAAAATAAAAATAGAATTTACCTTTACTATCACTGCAGCCAGGAAAAATAAATTCAAGATTTTCGTGCTCAATTTTTAGTAAATGTCTCAAATCACGCACATTGAGGCACAAAGCAACAATTGCACCTTTCACGCTATTTCTTGAACTAAAATTATAATTAAAAATTCTAGGAATTTGCGAAGTCAGAAACACAAGCCTTCGCCGTGAGTGCAGTGGTGCATAAATACAATGTCTACGATATGCGAGCTAAAAATGTCTCGATCGGTCGCTTTAACGCAAGATTCTACCAGATTAGGTTCTAAATCCATTTATCAGTAATCTTTACCCAAAAAAAGAGGTACAAAATCGACTGTCGAACAATCACGAGTACAAACGCTCGTTTAAGTGCACAAGAATATTATGGATCTAGTTTCGATTTCCATTCAATGCAAATTGCAATGAAGCATCCTTACCGTAATATGAATATTCGTCATCCATTGTTGATGAGGCGCGAGCTTGAAACTTGTCCTTGATAACTTGTATAATTGGCGAATGCTGAGATGGAAAGAAAAAGATCTTTGTCACTACTTACTCAAAGATTACAGTGAAAATGTAAGAGTATATTGCAGTATCAAACGAAAACATCTTAAGTTTACTATGAATTACAGAAGGCAGCTTCATATCTAAAGCTGTAGAAGATTTTGTCTTTATTTAGTAGTTAACACTAGCAGTCGTACATCCCTTTTGAGGGGACTTAAGGAGGATTATTTGCTTGTATTTTCTATTACAAAGCCAGGAAATTGTTCCGCTCGCGAGAACTCGTGTTACTTGATACACCCTTAAAATTCTGAGAAATTATTACATCAGGATAATTCATAAGGAATCCAGAAAACTCACCGTCAATCTTTACAGTTTTTCAAGCGAGGATTCCCATTCTTTTCCCTACAGAAACACTGTCATAAAATAACTCATTCGTATGCACTGTACTTTTACTTTGAATAAAACCGTAGTTCCGGTTTTTCTGGGAAACCGTGAGGGAAAAAAGAGGCTGGGAACTGGGAGAAAGCCAAATTGTGACTTTCCTTTCCGTGTGTTATCTGTGAATCCAGTTGTTTTCAGCCATGTTTTTTAAGACACGGAGAATGACAAAACAGCATAATTAAATTTTACTTCTCTAATAAACAGAAAATTAAATGAATGTGAGCGGAATGGGTAACCTCATCACGAGAAGAAAACTGACATTGTAGCAGCTAAAACTGCGTGCGTGATCTGAAATGTTTCGCTGGTCAAACCAAGATTGTTACTTAGCGTAATTGTAAGTTGACGTGGTCATTTTCTCCTACGATTTAAAAAAAAACCTTTGGATAATTCGTTCATACTTTGCCAAATTTTGCTGACTATCTCTGTCACGCCACTGTGTTCACCCTGGACAAGAATGACACCTGCACACGTGATCAACAACTTCGCGTCAGTGAACTTGGCGAATCTCCTAATTTTGATGAGCTGTGTTTTAAAGAGCTTAACATCACCTTTGAGCTCGATCTTTTGGAATGTGAAGGCGTTTGCGAGACCTTTTCGAAGTCTCTCTTTTAACAGCGATCTTTGTGGGGCCAGCGAGTTACATTTTTATTTCGTCCTTATTTGCGGATCTGGCCCAAAATCATGTGGCAAACGAGGCTTCTTTGCGGGTGACTCTTCAGTTTGCACAGGAGGAGGAGTTGGAACCAATCTTTTCGCCGCTTCTTTATGGACATGACTTGCAGCAATCGATACTTGTGTGTGAACTGCATAACCCCCTTGGAGCAGTAAATTTTGTCAATGTGGATTGCATTGTCTTCTTGAACGTTTTGCGGCTTGGCAAGCGACTTGCTTTTGGTGTTTGGACGACCGTTCTGAGAAAAGATCATCGGAAAGTCAAAAACAATAGTCAGGAACACTGTACAAAAGGGATCAAGAAGCACATAGAATTTAACACCACATAAAGTCGAGTATGCCTGGAAGCTAACGAAGTACACAGAGTCGAGGCTCGAACTTTGCGTGTGAAATAGTTTGCAAAAAACGAATGTGATCTTTTTCACTTTAACTCTTGCAACTTCTCGTCATAAAGGCCTTCTTCGCAGCCGCTCTTTTGAGACATTTCTAAAATAATGAAAAATGATGAAAAACTAGGAGAGGAATATTCTATTGCCGTTTACTCCGCGCGCAAGATTTCAAATGTAACTTTTACACAGTCTTGGGTTTGACCGTGTATGAACCATGAGGAATATTCTATTGTCGTTTACTATGTGGTTAAGATTTCAAATGTAACTTTGTAAACAGTCTTTACTTTAACTGTGTAATAACCATCGCCCTCGCGATGGCCAGAAAAACCATACGGCAAATGACACAAGATTTACCTTGTTACACGTGCCCTTGCTCGGGTTGGCTTGCTGACAAGCTGGGAGGGTATCAAAAGTTGGAAAAAGACTAAACAGTCCCCTTATAAAGCGATTATTAAATAAATATTTAGAGATTTCGCTTATAATTGCAGAGTCGGTCACAATAGTATTATTACTACAGAGGTAAATCATTACACGATATCAAACTACAAATACACTTATCCTTGTTTTGAAAATGGTGGATGAATGACCTAATGTTATTCGCCTGTATTTATCTGTGAAAAGCTGATTTCTCTTGAGGCAGGCAGAAACAGATAGGGACAGCCTCAAAGCCGAGAAGGAATAAGATGGGAGGTGTGAATGGGAAATCA